CCGAACCAATACTCTACGGACCTACCCCCCCCCCCCCCCCGCCCCCACTAGTGCGACACAGACGACACCGAGGTCACCGACAAGTCCGAGGCGACCTGTGAGTGCGACAAGCGGGAATGGTGGTGGTCCTGGTCGGGTGACCTTTGATGATGATGAACATGGTCAGGTCAATGTTGTTGATTTGGCAGATGGTAGTCGGGTTGGTGCAGGTGACGGACTCGGGTATGCTGATGATGATGATGATGATGAAGTAGTCATGGCGGCAGCGACGGCAGCTATGGTTAGTATGGGCACATCTACATCTGCTGGTGGTAGTGAGGATGTAGAGGCAGAGGCAGAAGCAGAAGCGGCGGCGAGACAAGTCGCGGATGCAGCTAGTGGTCGACCAGGCTCATCGGCATCGTCGACTACTACGACATCCGGTTCCTCATTCTCGTCTGCAGACGGGAAGACCTTCCTCACCGAAGTCGACTTTGGCATTGGCCGGACTGATGATCCGGTTCTGCTCAAGACCCTGTTTGCTGGCGAGGAGCTGCTGCCGCCGCTACAAGAGGCGCCAGCCGAGACCAAGATCCAGCGGATCGCCAAGATCAAGGCCAAGAGCTTGCCTGAGTCGTACCGGAAGCACTCGCGCGACGAACGGGTGGTGCTCGAGTATGTGGCCAACTTCCGGGCCCAGTTTGTGGCGCTGTATCCGGAGCGGCCCGATCCGCTGCTGGTGCGGCTCAACGAGGCTCTGGTGCCCAAGGTCGTGTCTACCACCCTGAGACCGAGCCAGCTTCGCTATGACGAGGTCTACGAGTGGAAGGGCGCCGCTGAGTTTGTGGCCGACTACCTGTTGTATGAGCGACTGGAGCCGCCGACGGCGCCGCCAGCTCATCTTCCGTCGCCGACTGCGGTCTTGCAATGGCGCGCCGGCGACGCCTTTGACTTTTCGGTTCTCCTCTGCTCGCTGCTGCTCGGCGTTGGCTACGACGCGTATGTTGTCTACGGATACGCCCACAAGTACCACACGCTACGCGATCTCTCGCACGCCGCTTGTCCGGACATCACTCCGCCGCCTCTACCCGAGGCCACAGATGCCAAGCCACCGGCGCCGCGCTTTGTGGTCGGCTCGCGGGCTCGTCTCGAGTCGCGGTTTGAGGCCCGTGACGCCGAGGCTGCCGCCGCGTCCGAAGCGGAGCGTGCAGCTGCGCTGGCCAAAGCGATGGAGGAGGAGATTGCCGCTGAAGCCGCCGAGGCTGCGCGCGACGAGCTTGACGGGGCGCGGGTCCATGCCTGGGTCCTTGTCATGCCTGGGCCACGCGACATCGAGAACGCGTTTTTCATCGAAGCGACTACTGGCCACCAGGTCGACATTGACGATTCATCTTACTACCGTATCGAGAGTGTTTTCAACGCCTCGGGCGTGTGGATCAACATGCAAGAGTACCCGTCTCCAACGGCATCTTCGAGCGAAATCTCGCTCGATCTCGACGATCTCACCGCATGGGAGCCGCTCATGCTCCCTGCTGATACTATGGCCCGCTCCGAGTCGCGCATGATGCAGAGCCAGGCAAGCCTCGCCGACGACGGCGACGACTCGTCAACGTTTGTGGACGACCTCTCGTCCGACGGCGGGACGATGTCGACGGGCATGCCCGGTACAGCGTCGCGACTCTCGCTGCGAACACTGTCACGGGCGTCGGTGGACCACACGCAGGTGCAGGCTGGTATGGTTGTCAATCTCGCACCGTCGGAGCGCGTCGGCGAAGGCCTGCGCCTGGAGATGCCGGCATCGTGGGTGGAGATGCTCGACGTGCCGCGCGATGAAGTCGAGTCCCGCTATCCCGGCGGCCGCAAGCGACTCCGGTATGCCAAGGCTGTTGTCGACGTCTTTGCGCCGTATGCTACTGCGGACGGCCTTGTCCGCAGAGTCATTGAGCTGGGCGCGTCTGAGGCCAACGCTGCCATTGTTGGCGTCGTCGAGCATTACGCGCACCGGCCCGACAAGCTTGAGCGCCGTGAGTACCGTCCACTCGAGCACATCACCCGCTGGGTCTACGGACCTGGCCGTGGCCACCACCTCAAGGCTGTCCACGACACGCCTACTTCGCTGAAACTGGAGTTCTACGCTTCGGCACGGCTTGATCGGCTCGCCTCGCTCGAGGACGTCTACGGCGAGCGCTGGGAGGAGGTGTACGGCGAGCGTTGGGACGTCCATGACGACGCGCTCCGCCGCCGGGTCCTGCACTACACGGGTAGTGCCGTTGAGAGCGTGCAGTCCCGCGGCAAGCCGCAGGAGACACCGGCGTTTGTGCTCGGCGGCTCGCGGCGGAGTCGGGCGCGCGGCTCTGCTCGCTCACAGGCTGCACCGAGCTCGACGCCACGACCATTGCCGGCGGCGGCAGCCACCGACGCGCCGCGGGTGGCGCTGCAGGCGGATCCGGCCGCCAAGCCATTGCGTCCGGTTTCGCGGGCAACCGAGGAGCACGGTGACGAGGTATCAGGGCCGATCCAGCCGCCGAGCCGGCATCCGCGGCCGGTGGCCAAGTACAGCTTTGGTCGGGACGGGAGCATCGAGGTGCGGTACCACCGGCGGCATGGGTTCGTGCTCCCGCGGGTCGAGACCTACACCCTCAACAGCAAGCTGCTGACGGGCGTCGAGCCCAATGCCGCCGTGACCCACGCGACTCGCAAGGGTCCGCGCGGCAAGATTGTCCGGCTTCAGGCCGAGGACTCGCTGCGCAACTCGTTCCACGGCGTGGCTTCGCTCAAGACGACCAACTCGGCGCACGGTGGGCACAGCGCGCCGCACCACGCAGCGCGCGCTCGCGCCAAGCAGCGCGCCGGCGGCCTACACATCGACGTCCGAGTCGAACTCCTCCTCGAAGCTGTCGAGCAGGTCGGCATCGAGCCCATCATTTGCACAGTCAAAGACGGACATGATCCCGAGCTCGAAGATCCGCTTGCGCTGGAGCCGACGCCCGCCGAGCTGCTGGAGACGTACGCTCGGCTGGAGAGCGCGCGCAACGACATGCTCTCGAGCTGCGAGGTCAAACAAGAAGAGTTCCGCACCATCCTCCGGATCCGCGACACCGAGGCCAAGTCGCTCGGCGACCTCGTGCTCTCCATCTACGACGTCAAGCGGCGCAAGGCGCGGCGGGCGGCGGCCGGCCCCGACTCGCGATCGGCGCCACGGCCCGAGAAGCTCCCCACGGCTGTGCTCACCGAGCAGCTCTTCACCAAAGAGTTTGACTTTCTTGCTCCGTACTACGACGCCGACGCGCCGCCGCGAAACAAGCACGAAGCGCTGCAGATCAAGCGACAGTGCCTGCAGGACTTCCAGTCGCGGGTCCTCGAGCGGGCAGACATCATCCAGCGGCGGCTCGCCGAGCTCGACAAGGTGCTCCGCGACTCGCAGGATGCCTTCAACCGCCAAGTCGACACCTCGCCTGAGCAAAACGAGGAGTACACCGATACCATGGCCACCCGCATCTTCCAGATCAACGTCCTCGCCTCGCGGCTCAAGGAGCTCAAGGACACCCACAAGGACCGCTATGCAGAGCTCTCCCACAAGATCGAGACCGATCCACGACTGGCGCCCTTTTTTGCTACGCCTGCAGACTCTAATTTTTCTCTCCCGAACGTCGTCTCCGCCGCGCTCCGCAAGTAGCTTCCCCCCCTTTCTCCCCTCAACGCATGCGTGTCCACAAAAGAAGCCAAAAAACGCCAAAAAACCCCCCAAGCCAACTATTTTGGCATTGCAGATCTCATGGAACTTTCACGGCAAGGTTGTGTGTGGCAGGTGCGGCAAAAGAGAGGAGGTTACGGGGAACAGTCACTGGGCGAGAGCGTGGGGACAAGGAGAAGCAACACGTGACGCAAGTACGCGGAGTACGTCAACTATAAAAAGACACAAGCATTTGTTATGAGGGTTTACATAAGTGGTATGCAAGTCCGGTTTGTGGCTTCCCTACACCAACTTGTCATGGTTGCTCTCCTGCTCGCTTTTCCTTTGACTCTCGTTCGAGGGAACACCGACAATGAGCGTGCAGACGTTCTCGTTGGTCGCTCGTCCATGACTGATCTGTTGTCATTTGCCGGACGAACGCTCTCAATGTCGACGTTCAACACGTTCAACTCGGATGATACTCTGTCTACCATCAAGTCCTCCTCCTCCTCCTCCTCCTCGTCCTCGTCGTCCTCGTCATCGTCGTCATCGTCGTCATCGTCGTCTTCGCCGTTTGAGTCGCCATGGGACGCATCGTCACCAGCAACGTCGACATCGTCGTCGTCGTCGTCGCCGTCGCTGTCAGAGATGGCTTCGGGTTCTCGGACCATGGCGGAGCTCACGTTTTCCGACTCGGTTTGGCGGTATCGGCTGCTCGAGGAGAATCACGCTACCGCGGTGGAGCACATGGCTGGCTTGCATCATGACGTGGACTTGCCCATGCCGGACCTGGCGGAGAACGAGTATCTCACTGGCGGAGTTGCTGTGGAGATCTCATCGGCAGACACGTTTCTACAGGAACACTGCCCCCCGCAGCTGGCGGCAATCAACGTCAAGTGCGAGACGCTGCTGGGCGCGGCGCCAGCGGCGGTCTCGTTCCTTGTGCCGATGGCCAACATTCCCGAGTTTGGCACCGACTTGGTGCTCTCGCCGGCCCTAGTGGCTGCCATCTGGGACGGCACGGTAACAAAATGGTCGCATCCGAGCATTGCAGCGCACAACCCCGATCTAATCCTTCCCAATGCCACCATCGAGCTCTTTGTCTACGACGATCCAGTCGTGGAGCACGTTGTGGCCGAGCTCAAGCTACGGATCTTGCTGCAGGCTGCCAAGACGGGGGTCACCGACCCGCACCTCATCTACTCGACGCCCAACGAGCTCCATCGGGCCAGCGGCACGACGCGAGTGAACCACCGCAGCAACCACCCCGACGCGTCGATTCGAAGCGTGTCTGGGGCGGCTGAGGCTGGGCTGGAGGTGTTGCGAACGACGCATGCATTCTCGCTCATCACATCCGAGGCGTACAACCCGCATTGGTCACACGAAGTTCACGTTCCGCTCTTGCAGATGCCGCTGGGCAAGCCGACGCCGCTAGGCCATGGTTCGGTCCTGACGGCTTCCGAGTCGATGCATGTATCGGATCTCTCACCGCTCTACTCGACGACGCCGTTTTCCTGGCCACTCTCGTATTTAGAGTGGGTACTCTTTCCGCACGAGCTCGACAGCATGTCGCAGACGTACTGCCAAGCACTGGCCGACTCTGTTGTGGGAATGACGCACTTAATGGACAATCTGTTTGTGGCCGACAACGAGTGGCGGCTCGGCCATGTCGGACTTCCAGCGGCGATCCGCGAGCATTCGGTGACCAAGCTTGAGGATGTGCGATGCAACGGCAAGCTTGTGCTCCGGCACGCCCGGTTTGCGCGCGGCGGAGGTGAAACGGTTGCGCTTCCACTCCTTGAGGCATGGCTCGCGCTCTTCAACTCGCTCGCCCGCGCGCACGTGCGCTATGACGAGCACGGCGAAGTCGTCGATGCTCTGATGATCGATGAGAACGTGTTTGGCTGCACCGACCATGGCCTTACCGAAGCCGATGCTCTTGTCCACTCGGACGCGCTTGTCCTGCCGATGTCGGCGACATCGCTCGCTCTTCCGTACTCGATCGCGTACAAAGACGGTGCGCCGAACGGGCTGCCGACCATGGTACTCTCACGGAGCGTGCTCGCCGACATTTTCCTTGCGCGTGTCACGACCTGGGACGACGCGCAGATCAAGGCACTCAATCCAGTACTTGCGCCGTGGCTCCCCAACGCCACCATTTGCGTTTATGTTCTCGGCAAGCGATCAGGCGTGACCGGCATCCTTACACAGGCGCTCTCGTCGATGTCCGACGACTGGAAGGAGACGTATGGCGTGACCGAGTTTGTGCCGCCAGGGTTTTGGCCCGGCGAGTCTGGCGTCTCTGCTGGCTCGGCGTGCATTCGGCGCAAGGATACCGAGGTCGAGGTGGCACGTGCGCTCGGCGTGACCAAGAACACCCTCGGCTATCTCACGCTTTCGCTTGCTGACACCACCGGGCTTCACGAACTCTCGCTCATCAATCGAGCCGGCGCGACGATTCGACCGCTGGCAGGCAACGTGGCAGCCGCTATGGCTGTGGCACGCGATATGCCACCGATCTCGACGCTCCAGCCGTTTGTCAAGGTGCTGGCCGACTTGCCGGGCGAGTTCTCGTGGCCGCTGACGGGCTACAACTATCTTGTGATCGAGGACAAGAGACGCGACTCCCACTGTCGCGAGCGGCAGCTTGTGGCCGAGCTATACGAGTGGATTGTGATTTCCGACGACGCTCACGAGACGGCCGAGTCTTCGGGCTTTGTTGCCCTTGACAACGTGACGGCGGTGGAGGCGCTGGGCGTGCTCTCGCTCGCGGAGTGCGGCAGCTTGCTGCTGCTGGATCCGTGTCGGCGCGGCGGATGCGGGTCGCCTGGCAGAACGGCGACAACAATGGATCACATGCTGGTGGGCATTTTGGTCGGGCTGGCCTTGATCCTCTGCGTCGGCCTAGGCGGCGCGGTGTACTACATCTACACCCGCGACGTAGTTGTCAAGCTCGAGGTCGACAAAGATCTTGTGATTCCCCTCAGCGAGCTTGCTGTGTCGCGAACGCTTGGCACCGGCTCGTTCGGCACGGTGTACCTGGCGACGTGGCGTGGCTCGCCGATGGCGGTCAAGCACATGCACGGCATGGAAGGTGACAACGCGCGGCTTGCGGCGTTTGTGGACGAGGCGCAAGTCCTGCTCAAGCTGCGACACCCGCACATTGTGCTGTTCATGGGTATTGTCATTGATCCGGCCGGGCTGGTCATCGAGTTTGTGCCCAACGGCTCGCTCTACTCAATCCTCCACAACTACTCGTTCAATCTGGAGCTCAACCTGCTGATGTGGTGGGCGCACTGTGTGGCGCTCGGATTGAGCTTTCTGCAGCATGCCGGCGTGGTGCATCGGGACATGAAGTCGCTCAACGTGCTCCTTGACGCCGGGTGGGTGCCCAAGATCTGCGACTTTGGCCTCTCGTCGGTCAAAAAGGAGGCTGAAGCGTCAGAGAGTGCTGTCTCGCGCAAGTTACAGCGGCGGCGGGCGCGGCAGTTGCGGCGGCTGCGCAAAGCGCATCAGACGCCCTCGGGCTCGGACGGGTCGGGCTCGGGCGGGCACGACCCGAACCCGTTTGCAACGGTGGCGACAGCGGGCACAACGTCGACATCGGCTACCGTGATATCGGTCGACGCGGCGATGTCGCGCTCGTCGCAACTCTCTGCTGGACTCCTTGGCGGAGCTGGCGAGGGTAATCTGGGCTCGCTCCTGTGGACAGCACCTGAGGTACTCAACAACGGCGCCGAGGCGGCATCGGAGGCATCGGACGTGTATGCATTTGGCGTGACAGTGTGGGAGATGCTAACACGGTCGGCACCGTATGCGGGGCGTAATCCGGTAACAGTTGCGCTCGAGGTTTCGCTCGGTACGCTTCGGCCTGCGCTTTCACTTGTACCGACGTGGGCGCAGCATGTGGTCCCGCTCGTCGTCTCGTGTTGGGAGTCCGATGCAGCGGCGCGGCCCCAGTTTGATACGATTGTGGCGCGACTGGGCGCAATTTACGTGTCTGAGAACATTGTGTTGCCGACGACAACGGCCCTACCGACCGGCAAGGTGGTGGCGATCCGGGTCTCGTGCCCGGTGGGCAAGCAAGCGCTACTGGAAGACGCAGATCGTGCGCGCGACGTGCTACTCCTGTTCCACACGGCGCTCCAGGCGGCGGTCCGCGAGTCGTCGTCGGTCCTTGCGCAGGTGACCGTGGCCGACGCAGTGGTACTGTCGCAGGTGGCGGCGCAGATGGTGGTCTTTGCGGCGTCGATGACGATGGGCATGGCCGACCACGGCGGAGTGGTCCTTGCAGTTGCCGAAGGACACATCGAAGCGCAGGTGGCTGTGGGAGCGCTGACCACTGACAAGCAGCAGTCGTTCTCCGGTGATGCAGCGGCGGGCGTCTCGTTTGTGACAGCAAGTATCCGGGAGGCGCGAAAGGAGCACGGCGTGTTTATGGTTGACTCGCTGGTGTCCGACGTGGAGGGCGTGCTCGCGGCCGAGCACCAGAGCGCGGTCAAGGCTCATGTTGTGCCAACTCGGATCACGGGCGTGAGCCAGTTGGTGTTCCCTGATCACGAGATGCGGCTGATGGCGACCGAGGAGGGCGAGACTTCAGGCATGTACGAGTCTGGGCTGGGAATGGGCCGGCCGAGCTGCGCAGCGATGGCGGCAACAGGGGTATCGATGTCGGCAGGCGTGTCGGGTGTCTCGCGTGAGTTGTCGGACCTGTCTGTGGCATCTTTTACGACGGCACACGCTGGCTCGCTGGCGTCGCGGGCGGGCAAGATCGGTGGCAAGGCTGGGTTTGTGGGCGTGGTGGCGCTGTCTGAAGAAGGGTCGTCGTTTTTCATGCCTGTGGGCGAGATGCGCAACTTGGTGCAGCGCGGCATGGTGATGGGCATGACGGCGTACACCCAGTCTGTGGTCTCGACGCTTGCCGGATCGCGAGTGTTTGTCAAGATCTTGCTCGAGCAGAGCCTCTCGCCCGAGGCGCAGGTAGCGTTTGCATGCGGAATGGCGAACATGCTGCAGATGTCGCGGACGGCCGGCGACAACGTGATTGCCGGGCCGCAAACCATCTGCGTCTTCAAGCCGTTCATCGCCGTCGTGCTCCCGTACTACAAGCACGGCTCTGTCCGCGACATGCTTGAGCTGGGAACTGGGACGTCCGAGATGATGAGGTCGATTGTGGTAGGGACGGCGCAGCACCTTGCGCAGCTGCACGCCGCCCGGCTGGTTCACGGGGCCATCAAGCCATCGAACGTCATGCTCTGCGACTCGTCGGCGAGGCGGGTCATCCTCACGGACGCCGGCACCACCGATATCAAGACCGGGATCGCCACAATGACCATGTCGCCGAACGTCTCGTTCATGTCGCCCGAGGAGCTTGGCGGGGAGACTGTTGGCCCAGCGTCGGACGTATTTTCGTTTGCGTCGATGGTGTACGAGATGGTGACCTGCGACTCGCCGTTTACTGGCTCATCCGCTATGGAGGTTGCCCACAAGATCCGCTGCGTCGAGCTCCCGCCGCTCGACGACGTCCTGGCCTCGGCCAAACTCATCCGCATCCTCCGCTCCTGCTGGCTCGAGTGCCCTCTGGATCGCGTCCACTCGGACACGCTCGCAGACCTTGTCCGCGGCCTGCAAGACAGTGACTTTGAGTGCTTGTAAAGCGCAGCAGTGTGATCAAGTAGAGGGGGCCCGCACCCTGACCGAGCCGTGCCCTTGCTTGTCACTGCTGGTGTGGCGGCGGGCGGCAAACGGTGGTGAGAGCGAGCACATCTCTTCACAGGCGAAAGGCCGAGGGTGATGTCGTTCCATGGAGGATCACCATCACGATTCAACTCGAATGGGCTGTATGAAGCACTCGAACGGTATGGTTATGATTGCCCATGGTAGATGGGTGAATATGGCTGGTAGTGACCAATGGCTGTGGCTGTGGGGCTGTGGGGCTGTGGCAGTGGTGCTGTGGCAGTGGCTGTGGGTCAGCGGGTGAGCGAGTGGGTGGCTGCCGTTGGCGCGCAAAGTGAGTCAACGGGCGGTGGCGGTGTTCGGCATGCTGTGCGCGGGGCGAGCGGGTATGAGGGATAGACTTGTAGTACAAAGCTGTAACTGAGTATACTTACGTATGTATGGTATGGGTATATGTGTGTCAAATATGGTGGTTGTAATGGTTGCGTATCGTTCTGTCGAGGTGGTGATAGCTCGCCGCGAAAGGTCGGCGGGGGACAAGGTGCGGAGAGGCGGTACTCTGGCGCTGATGTCGAGGACATTGTCTCGTCATCCAAGGTATTCCCTGGCATGAATTCCTCGAGGAGCATGGGGGAACGGAGGAAGTCAAGGGATTATGGCTTGGGTCAAGGTACTTCCATCGGTGGTGGTTTGGCCTCGGGATCGCTTGGTGGAGGTGCTTCCTCTTTTGCTGGTCATGCAGGTGGTGCGCCCATTGTGGGTAACGTCTTCCCGCCGAGTTATAACTACTACGTGGGAGTCTGGCGGCGGACGCCGTATGATGTGCTTCGATCTGAGCCGATGTGTCTCAACGGTGCGCGTGGCGGAGCTCACATCTCGTCGTACGATACCGATGTGGGCCAGTTGTGGCGCTTCCACGCGAGCCAGATGCACGCCAATGGGTTCTACCTCGAGGCGTTGGACGTGGGCGAGAACAGGTTCCTGGCCGGTGATCTGGCTATGGTCAGCGACCGCGAGGAGGCCGGCCTGTGGTTCTTTGAGTTCACCACGCCGTTTCGCGGCGGAAAGAACGACGTCGCCATCAAGGTCTTTAATGAGACCGGCCTGCTCCTCTGCTCGGAGCCGCTCAACGGGCGGGCCATACTCATGTCGGACAAGGAGGCATCGGCTCGCGAGAACGACGGTGCGTGGGTGTACAACAACGCGTGGGAGGTGACGCCCGACGTCGACGATGTCGAGGTCGACATGTTCCTGGAAAAGTACCTGACCCAGGAGGACGAGCTCGACAAGTTTATCGCCCAGCTGTGAGCGTCCGGGTAAACAGAGAGGCTACTCGGTGGTGGCGCCGACCTCGCGGAAGGTGTCCGAGGCGATAATAAAGACAGCCTTGGGCTTGGACGTGTCCTGTACGAGAAGGAAGGTCTGGGAGAAGGTCTTGATGACGTTCTTGCCGTAGTCAATCTCCCCTGCGACCGCAACGAGGATGTTGGCCATGGCGGTGTTGCCGTCTGAGCCGGGCAGGACGCCCGGAACAGGTTGACAGTCGACCGATGTGGTGGAGAACTTTGCCACTGGCAGCGACGACGAGAAGAACGCCTGCAAGCTCGAGGCCGGGACAGGGAATCCATTCCACACCACCACTGCTGCCGGCCCGTAGAAGTGATGCATCTCTGCCTTGGCCGAGTTGAGCACATCGTAGTATTGCTATCGTTCCGCTCCCCCGTGTAATCGGTGCGCGATGTTCGTCCGGTTGGTGTCCGTCCGATCCGTAGCGGTGCGTGGTGCCCGTCGGTGTGATTAGCGCCCGTGCAATCGGTGGTTGAGCAAGGATGCGTGAGACATGTGTGAGTGATTGCATGAGAGAGGGATGAGAGGGTGCCCCTCTCTCTACGCCTGTCCCCGTCCCTGTCTCTCTCCCGCCCTCTACCTCTGTCCGCCAGCGGTAATGATAGCCAGACCATCCATGGACCACACTCTCGACAGCCACCGAGACTACATCCACATCATCATCATCATCATCCCTCAAACACCACACACTACACACACCATCGATATACTCCAATGACTATGGTATGCCTTGCTGCCCCCCCGCCGCATCATCAGAACCGATGGCGTCGAGGTGGCCAGGCCATCACAGCAAGTCGCCCTCTCCCTCCCGCCCCCCCCCCCCACCACACACATCCATAGAGAGACACAGACAGATGGTCCATACCGAGACAAAGCGCTCTCCACTGCGGACGGTAAAGTCGGTCAGTGCCTTGTTGCCCTGCACAACAGCCATGCTGGGGCGTCAAAGAGAGGTGTCGTTGACGAGGGCCATCGGACGGCTTGGCGGCTTGGCAGCAGCGTGCTGGCGTGGGGGGGAGGGGGGGGGGGGGCTGGTTGCGGACGCGGCTCGTGCAGGAAGTTGGTGACTCTGATTGAGCTGATTGTCGGAATGTTTATAGTACAACACATGGAGAGGTTGTGGTTGAGATGTTGTAGTCATCGCGTGTATAGTGGTCATGGTAGAGGGCGTCAAAGATAGGGGTGGACCTGAGCCAGGTGACGAGTTGACGGCTTGACGGCGCGCGGGTGCTTGTTGCGGCGGCGGCTCGGAGACACTGTCATGACGGGACGGATCAAATCAAACCAGCACGGTGGATACATCATGATGTTGTGCTTCTTCTCTAGCTTTGACATGGCGATGATATAGATGGTTCTCTCGCCCAAGCCCAGTGCGTACCCCGTGCGCCACACAGAGACCATGCGACCACGGGCTGGGAAGACCAGCCACTCACTGATCACACAATGCTCATCAAACCACAGTCATCACCTTCTTTCTCCCTCTCTAGTACACTCGATCATACCATTGATGGTGGTAGATGAGCCAGATCATGCGTGCTGTGACTGTGAGGGGACCTAGAGTGAGTGAGGAGGCGACGAAGCGGGGGGCGGGGGGGGGGGGCGGGGGGAGGGGCGGGGGGGGGGGGAGGGACTCGGGCGACACGGCGACACACGGCGACAGACGGCGACAGACGGCGACAGACGGCGACACACGGCGAGACGGCTCAAGAGAGCGACAAAGGCGGGCAGTATGGGTACGGGTAGGGGAGCAACACTCGAGTCTGAGTGGGAGTCAACTACAATGAGCATGAGCAATGGTCTACGGAGGGTGATGGCGGTGCTGGAAGCACTGGGGTCGGTTATGGGCGGCGGTGGTGGTGGTGGCGGCGGTGACGGTGGTGGTGGTGGTGGGAGGGGGACGGTCGAGGTGGACGAGGTGCTGGAGGAGGCGAGCAAGCGGTATGAGGAAGAGTTTGGTCATGTTGTGCTTCCTTCTCAGCTGACTGGATGTGGTGGTCGGACAAAGGTGGTCTTTGTTGCTCTGGATGCTCTGGCGGTGTTGGCTGATGAGCTCGGTCCTGGTCTGGCGACACTGGATGAGGTCGCCTTGAGCGACAAGGCCAAGATCAGGACAGTGGTGGAGATGGTTGTTCTCTGGGGCATTGCTGTTCATCTCTTGCCAGGGGTGGGAATGCCGCCTCAAGCGCGGTCATCGGCTTTGGCTTCGCTCGCCAACGCGCCGTCGTTCTCGAGAAGCTCACTCGCTGTCGTCACATACTCTCCCAGCGAGCTGTTTGTCGTGCTGGAGCGATTGGTCGGCCTCGGTGGCTTTGGCTCAGATGCCATGCCCGAGCTAACGGTGGAGAACACCAACGAGATTCTCATCTCACTCCTTGCGCAGCACGCGGTTGATCTGGTCGCCGGCTACCTGCAGCTTGCGCACGCACCGGCGGCGGCGTCGGCGGCGTTGGCAGCGTCAGCAACGGCGACGGCGTCATTTACTTCGCCGGGTGCTATCGGCGCAGCAGCGGTGGCGGCAGCAGCAGCGGCGACTCCTGACACCGCACTGAGCGTGCAGGATGCGGCGCGTGCAGAGGCACGGGCGCACTGGCTGTTGGCGTCTGTCCAGCCGGACGTGGCGCTCGAGGTGGGGATGATCCTCCTCGGGTCGCGGATGCGGCGGTCGCCGCGGTGGCTGGTTCCGATTGCGCGGCGGGTGCTGAGTGATGCGTTGCTTGCCCGCGGCGGGGTCCACGCGCTCCTTTGCCAGATGCTCGACCGCGGCGACGAGTCCGACTACGACGCGGCGACAGTGGGCCGAGCGGTGCGACACCTTAGCCGCGTGCCATCGACTGTGCCGCGAGCGACGTATCTGGCGCGGGTCGGGGTCCAGCTGCTGGGCATTCTGGCGTCGGCAGTGGCATCAGCCCGTGACGGCAAGATTGAGTCGCCGGCGGTGACCCGCGCCGCGGTGCTGACGGTCCACATGCTGCTTGCAGCGCACCCGGTGGCGATGAAGGAACATTTTCTCCGCCCACTCTTTGCACCTTTCTTCCCGCTCTTTGCAGCGCCTGACGAAGCCGAGTCGCTGCTTGCGGTCCCGTGCGAGGCCGAGGCGTACGGAAGCGAGCCTCCTGAAGCCGGAGATGGGCTTCAGGTCGACGATGCGGTGCGCGAGGTGGTGCCGGCGTGGCGGGTGGCGCATCTTGTGGGGATTCTGCACCTGGTGACAGCCTCGGCCACACCACTGCCGGCACGCGCGGCGGAGGCGCTGGCCTTTGGCGTCCCGCTTGTCTTTGCGCTGCTGGTGACGGCGACGGCGACCAAATCGTTCATGCGGGCGCGGATTGTGTCAACACTCGCTGGGCTGGCGCGTTGCAACGAAGCGACGGTCTCGGACGCGTTTCTTCAGCTCATTACTGCGCCAAACGTGCCGGGCCTCTCTGCGCAGGTGGGGCGGACGGTGTCCTGGTTTGCGCCGGCTGACGGCGGGGCGCTCGAGGTGCGGGCGCTCTCCTTGGACACGCCGGGTCTTTCGTTTGAGAGGTTTGCCGAGCTTGTGCCTGCGCGGTCGATCGAGGGTGAGGCGCAGGTGCTGCTAGACCTGCTCAAGGTGCTGCCGCGCGACTGCGGACTGCCATCTGCGTTGTTTTTCGGCCTCCTCGACGCGTTTGCTGGCGTGCGGGCGGAGCAGACGACCGAGGCAGGTGCCCGCGACGCCGCCATTGCAGCGCAGCTGGAGGCTGAGCTGGAGGCCAAGCTGGAGGCGGCGTCGCAATCAAGGGTGCGGGTGCGGGCAGAAGAGGCGCCTGCACCAAGTGTGGGCCAGATGGAGGCAGCCGCGAGGGCAGAGCTGCTCCGCGAGCAGCGGATGCGGGTCCTGCACATGCTCGCGGTGCTGGCAGACGAGCTGCCGATTGCAGCACTCATCGGGTCGGATGTGGACAAGATGCTCCGGCTTGCGCTGGCACTGCTCAAGTCCGAGGCGGAGGAAACGCTTGGGCTTGTGCTGCAGCTTGTCGAGTATGTGGTGACCGGGCGGGTGGCTATGACGTCGCAGGCGGAGGCAGTGACGCTGGAAGCGCTTGCTCCCGAGCTGGAGCGCCTAAGCAAGGCGAGCGGGGTGGTGGCGGCGATCCGCGAGTCTGCGACTCGGCTGCGGGTGCTCATTGTGTCGCGCGATCCCGCGTGGGCGAGGACAGCTACCGCAGGCAGCAGCGAGGGCGAGGTGGACGAGCAAGGCGTTGGCGGACGAGGCCGTGTGAGCGCGCGGCTGCGGGATGCGCTCAAGGCGCTGAGCGATCCACTGCTCCCTGTCCGAGCGGCCGGACTTGTCCAGCTCCGCAAGATTGTGCAGGGTGGGCTGTCAGCAGGCCATCTGGGCGAGGTGAAACGGATCTTCGAGTCGCAGCTAAGCGACGATGACTCGTTTGTGTTTATGGCAGCTGTGGAGGGCCTTGCGGCGGTGGTGGACGCGGCGCCGTCGCTGTTCCTCGACGATCTCATCCGAGCGTACGGCTCGGCGAGCCAGAGTGAGCAGCACCGGCTGAAGCTGGGCGAGGCGCTGCTGCGGGTGGCACTGATGGCGGGCGACCTGCTTCCGGAGCATGCACCGCGAATGGTGCGTGCGTTTCTGGCGCAAGCCGGCGATGAGAACGAGCAGGTTCGCGCGTCGGCGCTGTCGAATCTCGCGACGCTCGCAGGGGCTTCGCCGGTGCCTGCGGCGGTGCGGCGGTGCCTGGAAGAGCTTGTGGTCGGCGTGTCTGCGCTCTTGCTCCGCGACGAGAGCACAAGCGTTCGGCGGGCGGCGGCGTTTGTCAGCGTGCTGCTGATTGAGGGCCTGGGGTTGGAGGCGACGCAAGTCGGCAGCGTGATGCGCGACGTGCGGCACGCGCTCACGGTGGCTGCGCGCGACGATGCCGACGAGGTTGTTCGCGGGCATGCCGAGCGGGGGTTGGAGCGGCTGCGAAGCGTGGTGCGCGAGGCCGTGGTGGGGAGCAGGAGCAGTGGGCGGCAGCACTTTCTGGAGATTCTGTAAAAGGATGATGACATGTGGGCGATGTGCGGCGGCGGCGACAACGACGACGACGACGACGGCAAAAGCACGCTCCTCGAAGCCGTCGAGCTTTGTGCAGGTGGCGATGGTGCTGATGGTGCTGATGGCAATGGTCATGTCTGCCTCTGCGGTCTTTGTGGCCAACGACTATCCCGTCGTGCCAGACGTGCCTGTCGAGTCCCCGGCCCTGCTCTCGCACAAGTTTGAGCATGACCAGTACCGCGAGCTGGTCAAGGACACGGTTCTGCTGTTGGTTGGCTGGCTGGCTGGCGGCGGCTGCAGAGTGGGATGGGGAGAGGACTTTATCGCGTACTGTGTTGTTCACTTTGAGGCGCGCGACAACGCGCCCGAACGACCGCACGGTGATAGTTAGGACGAGGTGCCCGCGGCAGCCGGGGCGTCGGAGACCTTGCGGGCAATAAAGAAGAGCATGGGGGTGAAGAGCTCCTGCTCGCCGCCGGCGAGGAGGCCCTCGGAGGCGCGGATGAGGATCTCGTGGGTCTTGACGGAGCCCTTGGGGGAGAGGCCGAGGGTCTCGAGGACGTTGACGAGGGCGTGGGAGCACCACTTGCCGACCTTTGTGAGGCGGAAGCGCGAGAGCGAGTACGAGCCCTGCATGTCGTAGTACCAGGGGATGGGGTTCTCCGGGGTGGTGGGAGCGAGGTCGACAAACTCGACGATCTCGTAGCCCGAGTCGATGAGGGCCTGGCGGACGTCCTCCGAGGTGATGATGTCTGGGAGGCCGTTGCCGATGGCGATGTCGTGCTTGATCTTGTTGTGGGCCGGGTTGTTCGGGTCGTACTTGTCAGTCATGGTCCACTCGTAGCCGCCAAACAGGCCGCCGTCCTTGAGGATGCGGTTGATCTCCGAGTAGCAGGCGACGCGGTCCGGGGCATGGCAAGTGGCCTCGATCTCGTAGACGGCGTCGTAGGAGGCGTCCTCGACGGGGATGTGCATAAAGTCAGCCTTGACAAAGCCACAGCGGCCGGCAAGGCCGGCCTCGGCAACCAGCTTCTGGCCACGCGAGATCTGGTACGCGTTGTTGTTGAGGCCAGTCAGGTTTGCGCCCGAGAAGCGAGCGATGGAGATCATGGGACCGCCGACACCGCAGCCGACGTCGAGGACGTCCATGCCCGGCTTGAGGCCGAGATGAGAAGAAAGGTAGTGCTCGTGGCGGGCGACCGAGGCCGTCAGGGTCTCGCCGACAAAGCGAGTGCCAAAGTGGAAGCTCTGGCCCCAGCCCCACTCGTAAAAGTCGGTAGCGAGGTCGTAGTACGAGTTGACGACGGTGGTGTACGACTCGAGGCGAGAGGTGGCATCCTGCGAGTCGAACATCTGCTCGTAGGAAGAAGCCACAGCAGCCACAGCAGACTCATCCATGGAAGACCGGTTCATGCCAAGCAGCGAGGCCGACTGGTGTCATTTTCAGCATGGCCATATATGACCGATGATAGATGTGAGTGGGCAGGCGGTGAGAGGGGTCTTTTGGCGGAGCGGCGCGGAAAAACAAACCGCTGCCATGCGATCCCAGGCGCAACGGGTTGGGTTGGGTGTGTGTGGTGGGGGGGTTGGGGTTGGGTGTGTGTGGGGGGTATGGGTATGGGAGATAGAGGGGGAAAGAGGAAGGGTGTTGTGAAGGACGTGTGTGATGTGTGTGTGCCTTGTGTGTGGGGAGTGTTGGGGTGTAGCGAGTGGTAGAGGGTGGGAAAGGGGCGCAACGTGGCAGAGGGGGGGATGGCAGGCGGAGGCGGAGGCGGAGGGACGGGGGGACGGGGGGCGGGGGGGGGGGGTATGGGCATACCTTGTGGCGTGACTTGAGGGTCTTGTAGAGGAAGGCGACGACACCGATGATGATAAGCTTCTTGAGAGCAGAAGCACCAAGGAAGGCATTGATGAGGGAGGAAATAACACCCTTGATGATAGCACCAGGAGCGGTGACAATGAGCTTGAAGAAGAGCTTGAACTTCTGGCCGGTGCTGATGCCCATGGTTTGGAGAGAATGAAAGTGAGAGAGATGGTGGATGAAAATTCGGTCACTTTGGCAAACGGATGCCACCTCGCATACTCGCAGACCCAGATCGCCATCTTCTGTTCCGCCATGTATGGTTTCTCTCGAACCGTTGACACCGACGACTGAGACGTTGTTCGCACCGATAAGCGCGTCAATGACCGCAGCGCGAGTGTCAGGGAGCGGGTAGTACTCGGATGGGTTAGGTGGCGTGTGGCATGGGTGAGGGGCGGAGGGGTGAACTGGGAACAATGGCCTGGATGCGGTCGGCAAGATCGTCGACCATGTCAACCACGCTGTCGCGAGCCGGGGAGTACGGAGCGAGGCCGCGCTCGAGGAGGGCGTAGAGAGTGCCGATGCGGGCGACTTTGAGCTCGGGCGTGAGTTCTATCGTGTTCCCT